GGAATGTTCTATAGGGAGATGAAAGAAAAATGGAAGGAATAATCTCTGCAACATGATTATTGAGTGATTTTCCATTTTATTTCCGTCTGTGCCTTGTATTTATTGGAAGTTTGGGCCTTGCAGGTTAGCATCGAAGAAGATGAACCTTGTCTTTATTCAGCCCTCTTAGGGGAGGAAGAAGAGTCTTCTTTTCTTAAGGTAGCAGACATGTTCATAAAGTAAGGGAATACTTACAACTTTGTGAGACTCATGATGTAGTAAAAAAAATATACTTTTTTTTTTTTGTTCTCCAGCTTTGTCTTGTTGCTTCCCTAACTTTCTTTTATACTGTTGAGTGCTGTCTGGGCTATTTTTGTAATCCTTTCTTTCCTTTGATGATCATTTCCAGAGTAATCTTGTAATCCCACAACCAGCTTCTCTGTCGTAAAAGTGAATCAGTTCTGCAGTTTCCCTTTCCCCCTTTTTCCTTCCTTTTCCTATCCCTTCCCCCCAAAAGTAGAAAGAGACCTTCCTTGATGGCTTCCTACAAGCAAAGTCAGTGGTGGAACTATAAGCAATAAAAATTGCAGTCATGTGAGGTCCTCACTTAACGACCCATCGTGATTCAGTTACTGGTAATCAGGGATTGCCAAAATTGTTATTGTTAAGTAGCTGATATTACACATGATCAATTGCTTAGTGAGAGAAATTCTGGTCCCAATTATTAGTATTAAGCTAGGATAACATATATAGAAACCTTAATTTGTCTATCTTTCAACTTTACTACTAAGATATACAGAAAAAGAGCCCCACTACCGTTTTCAGTAGTTGCTCACAACCACTTCCACAAGTTCATCTGTTTTGTTGAATATGTTTTCAAAACCCTGCTGTGAACATAGAAAAAAATTGATCAGGACAGGGCTTGTGATGTATCATTTAGCTAATAAAAGCTGCGAAGAGATAGATAGCCACAAACTAATTTTTATAAACATGTTTTGCCAAAATGCCTTATCATTTTTAAAAAGGAAAAACAACCAAAAAATAAAGACACTAAAAATTAATTGATGTAGAAATAAGTAGGCAAAAAATTACCAAGTCTAATACTCATTGTCTAATTGATTGGAAATCAACTATGGAAAACATGAAGTTACATTTAAGTACATAAAATTGTTTTAACAATGCATGTAAGAATTAAATATCTGAGCTACATTCCAAAATTTTCACTATTTGGTATTTAAAAATACAAAATGAAAAAGACCTAAAACATTACATATAAATATTATTCTAATTTCTTCTTTATTGTTCTCCATCTAATTCACAATACTTCTAAATTTCCCTAGAACAAGTACAAAATTGTGTGTTTTTTTATTTTAATTCCTTAGTCATTTTTTCATTTTAAAAACTTGTCCATGTGTTTTAATGGCAGCCACTCTGGAGTACATGTTAACAAAAGCTAATGTATTTACAAGTTCTAAAATTATAGTTGTGTTGTATTTTCAACATCCTAGATTTTAATTGCTTTAATGCAGCAAAAACAAAAGAATAAAATATACAAAATGTAAAGGGAAAAACTGTGTTCATGAATTACAACAGTTATATAATATATATAAAGAAATACAGCTCAATTGCTTAACAGCAGATTTAACGTGGCTGTATTACTGTATTGCCCAGTACCAGTATTTCTATTATGCTTATAAAGAACTAAATCATAGACTGAGGGGATATTTCATCTAGCGGTCAATCTTTCGTGTCTATATATAGCTGGATTTTTTCTGTGTAATTCTGTTAGATAAACAGATTGATCTACATTGATATGTGAGATATATTTCCAATATGTGGAATTATGCCTTAAATCTTATAAAAACAAGCATTTGATTTTTGACAGTTAAATTGTCTATGGCCTACTTGAGGGTCTTTTGGATGTCTTTCTTAGGAAAAGTTAGGGTTAAAATTCTCTTGTTTTGCATTCTTGAGCCCTGGAGAAGAACACTTCAGAATTATGAATTACATTTGTCATGTAGGCCCAGTTTAGACTTGCTGCTTTAGTTTTCCTTCCTTACAGTATTGTAGTCACTATTGAAAATAGTTTCTTGTGTACATATTATATGCATTTGCATATACATAATTTGGTCCATGCTTTTAAAACTTCGTAGTTTATAAAAACCTCAGCTGTTACCCTTGCTCCCTGGAACAACATACCCCCTGAAGTTGGGTCAGCCCTCACCCTGTTACTTTTAAAGATCGCTTTTCTAGAAAATGTTTGGTTAAGAAACTTGTAATTTAAGAGCAATAAATGTCATGTTTTCTCTTATCTTTTTATTATTATTTGATATTTAATGTGTTTATTGCATGCTGTTAGAGTTGCTTGAGTAGGTGGCATACAAATTTTCTATAGATAATAATTGCCAGGATATGGTGACTTGAAAATGAATATAGATAGTTCTTAACTTGCAACTGATCACTTGTTGATTGATTGAAGTTATGACAGACCCCGAAAATGTGTTTATGACCTGGGTTTGAACTTCTGATGTCCAGGCCTCCTCTGTGGTCATGTGCTCACATGTGGTCATATTTTGAGTGCTTGGCAATCAACCAATCATTGACTATTTGCAGCATCTCACAGTCATGTGACTGCAATTTATGAGGCTTTTGCTGGAAACCAGCATTTACTTTCAGTTTTGTGTACCATTGTGAACTATAGGCTTGTTTAATGACTGCAGTGTTTGTTTTATGACTGCCACATTTACAACGACTTCCACAAAAAAGTGGTAAAATCAGGCATGGTCATGTGGTGACCCATTTTAGTACTGTCATGATTGATGTGTAAAATTGTGGGCTCAATTAAGGTCATAAGTCTAGGATTACCTGTAATTTGTATGTATTAATCTAACTCCAGATTCATAATTCTATATTCTTTGTGATCTTAAACAATAAAAAAGCACAGATCCAAATACAAGCCTGATTTTGGAACATAAATTACCTCAGTTGGTCTTTGAGATGACCTGAAGGACAGCCTCCTCTTTGAGACAGGCAGATGAAATAAAATCATTAAGATTTTCTGGGTTTCACCAGTTTCCAATCCCACTGATCATAGTATCTTCTAGATAAACTTAATTGGACAGTAGTGATTTAGTGATTTCTCCTAAATGACCATTTCCATAAAGTGCTAAAGGAGGTTATTGTTGTGCTGAGGCAGTTTATATTATGAGGTGATTCGGTGCTCCTGCTTTTCAGTATATTTGTATAAGAGTACTGGCCAATTAGTTGCACCAAGGAAGCCATCCATAGAACACCAGTCATATTTTCCAAAAGTCAAATTTTTTGAGCCATATTGTTATTTCTATTAGAAGTCATGATCCTCGTTATTAGCCCATACCATTAAAATAGTGTATTAACATTTTAAGAAAGACATTCAAGAACACAATCCTTACTTTGAAGAAAATGTCAGAACACCTTTCGGTTGAAAAGTTTGTTACAAGTTTGTCATTGTTTTTTAAGAAGCATGAAGAATGTTGATAGTAATTTATGTCCTTCACTGTGGATTTTTTTAAAGAATCTTGTAAAGAATAAAGAGAAAGTAAAGAATAAAGAATAAAGTACCTTTGCCAGTTTATTAATACTTGGTTTAAAAAAGATGTTTAAAAATTAAATAAGCATTGTTAAACAGAAACATTCATCTGGAAATATTTTCCAAAGGGGTTTCTTATCCTCCTATCTCTCTATGTTTGTGTGTACCGAAGTAAATGACCTCCATAAAAACATTGCAAATGATTAAACTCCTTTAAGATGTCAGATATTTAACCTTAATTGGAGACTTTAATGTAAAGTGATCTGGCTATACAGAGTCTGTACACCTTTAAATTCCTGCTCCTGAAAAGTTAAGAACATTTAAATTTTACAATGTATTTTTACAATGAACAGAAAGTTGGATCTTTATCCTTTGGCCTGCTTGAAAGACTGATAATGGTTCAGAAGGGCTGTTTAGATCTAAGACAGAAAATATTTGTTTCAAAACTGTTAATGTTTCATGGAAATTGAATTAAACGGTTTAGTATATAGGATATAGTATTGGATAATATCAAAGGGCATAATTGTTAATTGTTACTTTCAGTTGGTAAGTTTCATTTTTATATTGGTCATCACCAGTGTGTTTCCAAGGGATGTTTAAGACATTGGAGAATTAAAACACATTCATGAAATTTCAACATAATCTGCCTTATTTCTTTATATCATCTGTGATGACAGATCTACTTTTACAGGTTTTATGGAGGTTATAATTTCTAGGGTCAGATAATTTGTAATTCAGATTTTATATGAACAGATGATCTAATGATTTAGGACTAATTTAAATGAACATATTGGGACACCTAAATCATGACTCAGAGGTGCCCAGATTTGGCAACTTTAAGACTTGTGGACTTCAGCTCCCAGAAGTTCCCAGGCAACATGTCTTAAAGCTACCAAGGTTAGACACTCCTGTCATAAATTGTTTTTTCTTTTCCATGATTCTTTCCCCACTCTTTAACAGAGTACTATATCCAAAACCCTGTATTTGAACTGAAAGTATAATAGTCTAGCTACTCTAACATTCAGACAAGTCAATATAATTTCTCTTTGCCACAACTTCTTGTTTAAAAATATACAGAGATATGTTGGTACTCAACTACTTTGAAACGCAAATTAGGTACTCGATGCACTTTGACATAAAAATTTTGTCCTGGTATTTATTGTTTGTTTGGTACTCAACTAAGAAGTTAGAATTCGTCATTGTCGGCTGCCTCATGACTCACTATATTATTCCTTGTGGGAAAACGTACAATAAAAATACAATACAATAAAAAATCAGTTTTATGGTATAGAAGAGTTTGACTTTCTGAATCTCTTGTTATATGATCTGTTCCTAATGAATTCAATACAATATTCTTTTTCTTTATAAGTTTCATTTTTAGTAAAAAGATAGATTATTCTACTAATGATTTCTACCCATTTTACTTAGCATTTTCCTTTTTCATCCTTCTTAGATTATTTGATGTATGCACAGTATCCCGAACTGAACGAGAGACGAAATTAACACTGGTGTTTGAACATGTTGATCAAGACTTGACCACTTACTTGAATAAAGTTCCAGAGCCTGGAGTTCCTAGTGAAACTATAAAGGTATTGAAAGAGGAAGTGTTGAAGAAGAGTTTGTACATAAGCTTTTTATTAAATTTATAAAATTATTCAAACATATGTTGAATAAAAAAACTTTTTTGAGGAAATATGAATCAATTAAATGTATCTAACTAGCTGAAGTTTTATAGCTTAACTAAAGCAATTTAATCAAACTACAATTGATATTGTTGACAGGTAGGGTTTCATAATTGGTAGTGCATAGATTTATCCATCAGTTATAAAGAACAAGGAACTATAGAAGAAGATTATCATAACGTTTGTGCTTACACTAAAAAAGCAGTTCTTTTTTATATTTGAAAGGCCAGAGTGTTTATTATTAGCTGTTAAAAGGAAGGAACCACAGCTCAATGGTAAAGATCATGTTTTGCATGAAGTTTCTAGGTTCTAAAGGCATTTCCTTCTATAGCTTAAAACGCTTGCCGCTACTTATAGTAAAATGAAAATGCTGAGTCAGATGAAGCAGTATAAGTAACTGCCATATGATAATCTACAGTTTTGTTATCCCTTGATAATTTTTTCCTACATTAGTTTATATTACTAGGTAGAGTTGAGAAAATCACAACTGTCTGCAAAATATTCTAGACTTGTCAAGTAACAAAGTCCCCTGGGATTGTACTGGTAAATGTTAGAGACAAAATTGTGATTTTTTTTTAATGGCATGAGTTTTTCCAAATTATATTGATTCAAAAAGGAAATGATAATTCAGAGCAAATATTGATGTACACATCATGTTTGTCAGCAGTGTCTTAAAGTAAGCTTTGTCTTTTTTTTCCAGACCATTGCTTCTTTGAGTAGTTGGCCACAGACATGATGTGCACATCAGTATGTGCTCCAAATCATCTTTCCCCTTTTGAATCCAGGTGTTGTAGAGCCCAAATAAGCCCATGTATATTAAGAGTCTTTTTAAAAGCAAGAATATTTAACAGCTCTATGGCATAGAAGCTATTTTAGAGTTAGACACTTAAGTTATAATGTTATGTTATTTAACTTGGTTTCCATGCTGTATTGTTTTAGTAGATATTCAATAATTTTATTGCACATGCACGTGAGATTGTGAAATGTGGGGATCTGAAGTGTACCCAAGGATATATGTATGTATATATTTGGATATTCAGATATTTCTATTCATATCAATGCAAGTTGTTCCAGAAATTTTTGAAAATACATTAAAAAGGGGAAGCGATAATAATAAATACTTCTTTTCTAAGAATCTACATAGTTTGTAGCTTTTCTGCGGAAGTCGAATAGACTTAGTAGTTAACCTAACCCTATGACTGTCTCCTGAAGATGGCATCAATGGGTGGAAAATTCAAACAAATTATTTTAAGTTTGCTTCTTCCCAAATTTATAAAAAATGTGTACTTTTCCTCTTTTTTTGTTGTTGCTATGTTCTATAATCACCATGCTATTCCAGTTTCTTTGAGTTTCAAGTCTGTTCAAATAGAACTTCCTTCATTTTGAGAATGATTTTATCTTCTAAGGGAAGCTCAGACAAAGGCACACATTATTAGAGTTAAAATATACTGACTGCAGACAGAAAATAATGCATGGAAACATAAATGAGCTATACTGTTTGGGTGATTAATCCTTTAGATATTTGGCTGATTAAAATATTTTCACTTCAGTGAAGTGGGCCTAATATTGCAGAACCTAAAAGATCATGAAGTTAAGGAGAAAAAAGCACCCAGTTAAAATTCTTCTGAACTGGCATTTCTTCAGAATGGAAAAAAAATCTGTCCCCTTCTCTCTCTTTCTTTGGGGGAGTGGGTATATTTACCCTATCAGTATGCATGCAGAATAAGATCTGAGAAAAAAATAGCATTCTAAGATTTACTTACTGCACATGCATACTAAAGACATATAATAATTTCAGCAGAGAAGTATCAATCTATTATTTTAGATGTATATCAGTTTTTTTGGTGTCATATCATGTTAAACCATATTTTAGTGTTATGTAATCAGATTTTCTGCTTCTCTGTCATTGGTCATGTGAAAGTGCTCATAATATTTCCTTCTGTTTTCAAATAACTTTGTTTAAGAAAGCCAACTACATAACCCACAGTTTTACATTGGCTTATTTTCAAGGAACAGTGGCTAACATTAACTAGAATTTGATGGTTAATGTTGTTGGTAAGCAAAATCATATAAAATACTTACAGCTGCATCAATCAGAGAAGAGAAAAAAAACAAAGGGCAAAAGTTAAATGATTTTTGATCATGAAGCCTGGACTCAACTAACATATCAAATACATTTTGTTTTCAAGGGTTTTGATTGTTGCTGTGACTACAGATAGCTCGAAAACAATATTGTACTTGACTTCAGAAATAATGTGCCTTGGCTGTATAGGAACTTTTGCAAGCTCGAAGAATGTTTGAAATTCATCTGTCAAAACTGAAGGCATAGGTCACTTTGAGTATGAATAAAGCAATGTTGTGTGGAAGATTGAATAAAGATCAGATATAGAACTAGGTTGCAGAAACAGAACATTGAAATTACAACAATTACAGATAATCCTGGATTTATGGCCATTCATTTAGTAATGATTTGAAATTACGACTTGATTTTAAAAAATGACATAGCTAGTACTCCCACACATGACTATCACAGCATCCTCACAGTCATGATCATAATCCAAGCAATTGCTATATTTATAATAGTTGTACTGTCCTGGGATTATGTGATTGCCATTTACAATTTTCCCATCTGGCTGCCAAAAAGTAAAATCAATGGGAAAAGGTTGCAAATTGTGATCTTGCAACTTACTTAACAACCACAGTGATTGACTTAACAAAAATGGCAAAAAAAATGTAAAATTGGGTGCAATCATGTGATGCTACACTTAACATTTGCACCATTTAGCAATGAAGTTTCCAATACCAACTATGGTTGAAAATTAAGGGCTACCCATATGGAAACTGCTTCAGAGCATGTTCAATCACTGATCTATCCAGCTTAGTATTATTGCTACCGGCTGTCAGTGGAAAACTAGGGAATGACCCTGGAGCTTACACTGTGTGCTCTACCATTGAATTATGTCCCTTTCTGGATGATTAAGCATCAGTAGTTATGCTGACCAAATTGTTAATCTGCCAGCGAAAGTAAAACAGAATATTTTGCAAGTCAAATGAAATGCTTACAACCTAAGCAGGTATCTTCTTCTGTATATGATAATATACATATAACACTAAACCCGCTATCAGTGATACTGGCCTAGAGCAGGGGTGGGATACAACAGGGTTAACTACTGGTTCGGGATTTACGAACTTCCCTGCCCACTGTGAGCTGCGCGCCTGTTAATCATCATTAGTACACTGCGTACCGAGAAGCAGCCTTTAAAACAGCCCTCTTTTCTTGTTTTTTTAACTGCAACTGTGCCTTGTTCGACAGCTGAAGTTGAAAAATAGGAAATAAAGATCAGGTAAGAGTCCGGGTGGGCAAAAACATCAACAGACTTAGAACTGATTCTATGCCTGCTGCTCTTCAGAGATACCAGTTCCACAGAGGTGGACAGAACCGGTAGAAACCCACCCCTGGACTAGAGCATTTCCATACTGTATGAGATCATGATTTGATAGATATGATTTAATTAAAACAAAGCATAAGGTCCACTATTTTGGATGGAATCTTATTTACACTATGTTTTTTCAGTATTTCTCCAAGGTAAATTCAAATATGAGACTGGGCATATTTTCTACATTTGTCATTCAAATTATTCATTTTTATTCTCTTATTTTTCTGCATTCTTTCTGAAGCGTCCTTGTTGCTCTCTTAGCTTAGTTGTTTCTTGCAGACATTTCATTACCCAAATAAGGTAACATCATTTTTCTAGTATCTTCTGGATACTAACACTGATGAAGTTACCTAGTTTGGGTAAGCATCTGCAAGAAAACAACCAAGCTCAGAGAGCACCAAGAACCCCTTATTTCAATCCTGAGCCATAAACATTCTTCTTTATTGGTTTCTTTTATTTCTTTGATTCTTGACTGGTTCTATACCTGATTTTTGTTCAGTTCTCCATCTGCATCGAGAGCCCAGGATGGATTGACTCCTATGATGTCATAGCTGAGTCTGTAGTCTTCCTATGATGTCATAGCTGAGTCCTTCTGTTGACATTCCAGTTCTGGCCTCATTCTCATCTTCTGGCACTCCCACGGAGCCAAAAGATATCCTGAAACCAGATGATAAACGTTCCAAACAGACCCTCAAGCGCAATCACCAGGCTGCTGCTTGGGCTGTTCGGGCTTCAACAGCAGCATCCTTCTTCACCAGGGCATCCATACGATGGCTGCTCCAACTGCAGAATAGATTGACTGCTTCTGACCTTCGGTCTCACCAAGACCTTAGTAAGATTATTGCAGCGTTGGAATTCACTGCGGATGCCACTCTCAATTCCGCCAAATTTGCATCAAAGGCCATGACATCTTCTGTAGCAGCAAGAAGACTTTTATGGCTCCGAAATTGGCAGGTGGAGTCATGCCGAAAATGGAAGTTGGCTTCAATTCCATTCGCAGGCGATAAGCTTTTTGGCGATGCTCTGGAACCTTATCTCATCGACCTCCAGTCAGAGGTGGTATTTGCTGGTTCTCCGAACTACTCAAAATTTACGCTACTGGTTCTCCAGAACCCATCAGAACTGGCTGAATACCACCTCTGGACTGGAGGCTAAAACATATGAAGAATGGTTATTGGAATTGGGTATGCCTGGTTTAATAAAAAGAAGGACGAGGGGTGACATGATAGTAGCATTCCAATATCTCAGGGGCTGCCACAAAGAAGAGGGAGTCAAGCTATTCTCCAAAGCACCTGAGGGCAGGACAAGAAGCAATGGGTGGAAACTAATCAAGAAGAGAAGCAACTTAGAACTAAGGAGAAATTTCCTGAAAGTTAGAACAATTAATCAGTGGAACAACTTGCCTCCAGAAGTTGGGAATGCTCCAACATGGATGTTTTTTAAAAGATGTTGGATAACCATTTATCTGAA